ATCGTACAGATCTGTCCTACATCGTCACTTTTCTATTTCCCTATCTTACAAATCTGTCCTACATTATCACCTATCTAGTATCTTAAAAATCTGTCCAACAATGCCACCTATCTAATATCGAATTGTATCAATCTGTCCTACATCGCCAACTATATAGTATCCTACAGATGTGTCCTACATCGTCACCTATCTAGTATCGTACCATAGAGATCCGTCCTACATCATCTCCTATCTAGTATCCTACATATCTGTCCTACATCGTCAACAATCTAGTATCATATCGTCGCACAAATCTGTCCTACATCGTCACATATCTAGTATCGTAGAGATTTGTTCTACATCGTCACCAATCTAGTATCGTATCGTACAGATCTGTCGTACATCGTGACCAATCTAGTATCGTACATATCTGTCGTACATCGTAACTTATCTTGCATCGTATCGTACAAATCTGTCCTACATCGTCACATATCTACTATCGAATCGCACAAATCTGTTATACATCGCCACCTATCTAGTATCGTATCTTACAGATCTGTCCTACATCGCCACCTATCTAGTATCGAACAGATCTGTCCTACACCACCACCTATCTAGCATCGTACAGATCTGTCCTACACCGCCACCTATCTAGCATCGTACAGCTTTGTCCTACATTTTCACCTATCTAGTATCGTATCTTACACATCTGTCCTACATCGTCACATATCCAGTATCATTTCGTACATATTTGTCCTACATCGTCTCCTATCTCGTATCGTATAGATCTGTCCTACATAGTCACATATCTAGTATCGTATCGTACAAATCTGTCCTACATCGTCACCTATTTAGCATCGTATCTTACAGATCTGTCTTACATCTCCAACTATCTACTATCGAACAGATCTGTCCTACATCGTCACCTTTCTAGTATCGTACAGATCTCTCCTACATCGTCACCGATCTAGTATCGTATCATACAGATCTTTCCTACATCTCCACCTATGTAGTATCGTATGATACTGATTTGTCCTACATCGTCACCTATTTAGTATCGTATCGTACAGAGCTATCTTACATCTCCAACTATCTTACTATCGTACAGATCTGTCCTACATCGTCACCTATCCAGTATCTTACAGATATGTCCTACATCGTCACCTATCTAGAAACGTATCATACAGATCTGTCCTACATCGTCATCTATCTATTATCGTACAGATCTCTCCTACATCTTCACCTATCTAGTATCGTATCGTACATATCTGTCCTACATCATCATCTATCGTGTATCGTATCGTACAGATCTGTCCTACATCGTCACTTATCTATTTCCGTATATTACAGATCTGTCCTACATTATCACCTACCTAGTAGCTTACAAATCTGTCCAACAATGCCACCTGTCTAATATCGAATTGTACAAATCTGTCCTACATCGGCATCTATCTAGTATCCAACAGATCTCTCCTACATCGTCACCTATCTAGTATCGTACCATAGAGATCCGTCCTACATCATCTCCTATCTAGTATCCTACATATCTGTCCTACATCGTCAACAATCTAGTATCATATCGTACAAATCTGTCCTACATCGTCACATATCTAGTATCGTAGAGATTTGTTCTACATCGTCACCAATCTAGTATCGTATCGTACAGATCTGTCGTACATCGTGACCAATCTAGTATCGTACATATCTGTCGTACATCGTAACTTATCTTGCATCGTATCGTACAAATCTGTCCTACATCGTCACATATCTACTATCGAATCGCACAAATCTGTTATACATCGCCACCTATCTAGTATCGTATCTTACAGATCTGTCCTACATCGCCACCTATCTAGTATCGTACATATCTGTCCTACACCGCCACCTATCTAGCATCGTACAGATCTGTCCTACACCGCCACCTATCTAGCATCGTACAGCTTTGTCCTACATTTTCACCTATCTAGTATCGTATCTTACACATCTGTCCTACATCGTCACATATCCAGTATCATTTCGTACATATTTGTCCTACATCGTCTCCTATCTCGTATCGTATAGATCTGTCCTACATAGTCACATATCTAGTATCGTATCGTACAAATCTGTCCTACATCGTCACCTATTTAGCATCGTATCTTACAGATCTGTCTTACATCTCCAACTATCTACTATCGAACAGATCTGTCCTACATCGTCACCTATCTAGTATCGTACAGATCTCTCCTACATCGTCACCGATCTAGTATCGTATCATACAGATCTTTCCTACATCTCCACCTATGTAGTATCGTATGATACTGATTTGTCCTACATCGTCACCTATTTAGTATCGTATCGTACAGAGCTATCTTACATCTCCAACTATCTTACTATCGTACAGATCTGTCCTACATCGTCACCTATCTAGTATCTTACAGATATGTCCTACATCGTCACCTATCTAGAAACGTATCATACAGATCTGTCCTACATCGTCATCTATCTATTATCGTACAGATCTCTCCTACATCTTCACCTATCTAGTATCGTATCGTACATATCTGTCCTACATCATCATCTATCGTGTATCGTATCGTACAGATCTGTCCTACATCGTCACTTATCTATTTCCGTATATTACAGATCTGTCCTACATTATCACCTACCTAGTAGCTTACAAATCTGTCCAACAATGCCACCTGTCTAATATCGAATTGTACAAATCTGTCCTACATCGGCATCTATCTAGTATCCAACAGATCTCACCTACATCGTCACCAATCTAATATCATATCGTACAGATCTGTCCTACATCGTCACATATCTAGTATCGCACAGATCTGTCCTAATCTAGTATCGTACAGATCTGTCCTACATCGTCACTTATCTAGTATCGTATCTTACAGATTTGTCCTACATCATCTCCTATCTAGTATCCTACATATCTGTCCTACATCGTCAACAATCTAGTATCATATCGTACAAATCGGTCCTACATCGTCACATATCTAGTATCGTAGAGATTTGTTCTACATCGTCACCAATCTAGTATCGTATCGTACAGATCTGTCGTACATCGTGACCAATCTAGTATCGTACATATCTGTCGTACATCGTAACTTATCTTGCATCGTATCGTACAAATCTGTCCTACATCGTCACATATCTACTATCGAATCGCACAAATCTGTTATACATCGCCACCTATCTAGTATCGTATCTTACAGATCTGTCCTACATCGCCACCTATCTAGTATCGTACAGATCTGTCCTACACCGCCACCTATCTAGCATCGTACAGATCTGTCCTACACCGCCACCTATCTAGCATCGTACAGCTTTGTCCTACATTTTCACCTATCTAGTATCGTATCTTACACATCTGTCCTACATCGTCACATATCCAGTATCATTTCGTACATATTTGTCCTACATCGTCTCCTATCTCGTATCGTATAGATCTGTCCTACATAGTCACATATCTAGTATCGTATCGTACAAATCTGTCCTACATCGTCACCTATTTAGCATCGTATCTTACAGATCTGTCTTACATCTCCAACTATCTACTATCGAACAGATCTGTCCTACATCGTCACCTATCTAGTATCGTACAGATCTCTCCTACATCGTCACCGATCTAGTATCGTATCATACAGATCTTTCCTACATCTCCACCTATGTAGTATCGTATGATACTGATTTGTCCTACATCGTCACCTATTTAGTATCGTATCGTACAGAGCTATCTTACATCTCCAACTATCTTACTATCGTACAGATCTGTCCTACATCGTCACCTATCTAGTATCTTACAGATATGTCCTACATCGTCACCTATCTAGAAACGTATCATACAGATCTGTCCTACATCGTCATCTATCTATTATCGTACAGATCTCTCCTACATCTTCACCTATCTAGTATCGTATCGTACATATCTGTCCTACATCATCATCTATCGTGTATCGTATCGTACAGATCTGTCCTACATCGTCACTTATCTATTTCCGTATATTACAGATCTGTCCTACATTATCACCTACCTAGTAGCTTACAAATCTGTCCAACAATGCCACCTGTCTAATATCGAATTGTACAAATCTGTCCTACATCGGCATCTATCTAGTATCCAACAGATCTCTCCTACATCGTTACCAAACCAATCTAATATCATATCGTACAGATCTGTCCTACATCGTCACATATCTAGTATCGCACAGATCTGTCCTAATCTAGTATCGTACAGATCTGTCCTACATCGTCACCAATCTAGTATCGTACATATCTGTCGTAGGTCGTCACTTATCTAGTATCGTATCGTACAGATCTGTCCTACATCGTCATCTATCTAGTATCGTATCGTACAGATCGGTTTTACATCTCCACCTATATACTATCGTACAGATCTGTCCTTCATCGTCACCTATCTAGTATCGTTCAGATCTGTCCTACATGTCACCTATCTAAGATCATACAGATCTGTCCTACATCGTCACCTATCTAGTATCATACAGATCTTTCCTACATTATCAACTATCTAGTATCGTATAGATTTGTCCTACAACGTCACCTATCGTGTATCGTATCGTACAGATCTGTCATACATCGCCACCTATCTAGTATCGTACAGATCTGTCCTACATCGCCACCTTTCTAGTATCGTACAGATCTGTCCTACATCGTCACCTATCTAGGATCATACAAATCTGTCCTACGTCGCCACCTATCTAGTATCGTACAGATCTGTCCTACATCGCCACCTATCTAGTATCGTACAGATCTGTCCTACATCGCCACCTATCTAGTGTCGTACAGATCTGTCCTACATCGCCACCTATCTTGTATCGTATCGTACTGATCATTAAAATTGTTGGATACGAAATCCGCCGACTTGTCGGTTAAGTGGTAAAATAACAACCACATGTACCGCACGTCGTCAGTTAACATTGAATATTAAAGACAACCTATCTACATCGCCAGTAAAATTGTTTAATACAAAGCCGTCCGCGCTGTCTACGGCAATGTTGAATACTCACCCGTCGACTCCGCTTCTGGTCATCTGTATAGATCCGTCATCAACGATAGTAATGGAGGAAGAAAGACAGGACGTGGAGGACATGTACCAGACTGTGGGATAACTCTTCTGTTCGTACCAAGTCCCCGCGTACTGTCAGCAATAACAGTGATTTTTTTTATTAACATGAGAATCACGAAACAGGCTTGTCTATATACAATTCTCGTGCACCACATACTGCTTACAGATACCGAGGGGTCTGGGTCCCTGTATAATTCTTATGTTAAATATACTGCTGTTAGGTGCCAATGTTGGGTGATGTAAAACCAAAAACAAGGAAAAAGTAAAAACAAATTTGCATTTTTACCTATCTTGGATCTTAACGAATATAAAAGATGATAGTCAACAATTACATTTTTGATCCTAAAACCAGGTCAATTACTGAATTCTACTCACTTTGTTTATATCAAAGCTTCTCTTCGATGGAACATCTGGACATTTGCCCAAACTCATCATTTGACCGGAAGTGACGCCAATGATCGCCATCACCAGGAAGACTTGAGAGCTGGCCATGTCCAGGGGTAAATTAGTGAGTGAGATAGACCTGGTTTCCTCCTTACTGGTATATATACCCCGATCTACCTGACCTCCAGACGGCATTGGACCAAGTGATGTTACCCACTATCAGTTACCACTGACCATGAAGCGATAGCAGTCACTTGCAGCGTTTGGTGTTCTGTGTATACCCGACCAGGGGTCAGCAGTATAATCTGATATTGTACAATTTATTAATTCAGATATACTATTCCAGACACAACACAAACACCCAATACCCGGTCAGTGCCCAAAGACGCATTGTTTGCATGGGACAAATGACGTTACTAACAGTGATTAAAACAGGGTAATTACTCTCGGGGGAATCTGTAACAATTGCACAGAAAATGCTAGCTGCCATACAAATAGGGTATTTATAATTTCTGTAACCTAAAGCAGTACAACATATATGGAGCAATGAGGCCATGGCTCCTGTATCACTGTGTTAAATATCAAAGGAAGAGCCACGTTGTTCAGAAATAATCAATGTAATAACACACACAATTTCATGTTACATGTAAAACTTATGATATAACCTTTTGTTTTCTATTTTCCGAATGATAACAACTAGAGAATGGTAAGTTTGCGGATATATTTATCTCCAAATCGAACACAGATTGAAATGTTGTATTTTGCGCGCTTTTTAATCTGTATGTTTCCAATATCAAACAAAGGGTACAAATGACTGAGTATTAACGACATGTAAACACTGCCTCTCTAGTACCCTAGCGTTGTTCCTGTTTATGATGTGGATGTAAACACTGACTCTCTACTACCCTAACGTTGTTCCTGTTTATGATGTGGATGTAAACAGTGACTCTCTAGTACCCTAACTTTGTTCCTGTTTATGATATGGATGTAAACACTGACTCTCTAGTACCCTAGCGTTGTTCCTGTTTATGATGTGGATGTAAACAGTGACTCTCTAGTACCCTAGCGGTGTTCCTGTTTATGATGTGGATGTAAACAGAAACTCTCTAGTACCCTTGCGGTGTTGCTGTTTATGATGTGGATGTAAACACTGACTCTCTAGTACCCTAACATTGTTCCTGTTTATGATGTGGATGTAAACACTGACTCTCTACTACCCTTGCGTTGTTCCTGTTTATGATGTGGATGTAAACACTGACTCTCTAGTACCCTAGCGTTGTTCCTGTTTATGATGTGGATGTAAACTCTGTCTCTCTAGTACCCTAACGTTGTTCCTGTTTATGATGTGAATGTAAACTCTGTCTCTCTAGTACCCTTGCGTTGTTCCTGTTTATGATGTGGATGTAAACACTGACTCTCTAGTACCCCAGCGGTGTTCCTGTTTATGATGTGGATGTAACCACTGACTCTCTAGTACCCTAGCGTTGTTCCTGTTTATGATGTGGATGTAAACTCTGTCTCTCTAGTACCCTTGCGTTGTTCCTGTTTATGATGTGGATGTAAACACTGACTCTCTAGTACCTTAACGTTGTTCCTGTTTATGAACATAGCAAGTTTTAGCTATAATCCCTCGAATTCTTGTCAATATATACTTTTGGAGAGTGATTTTATGAAGATAGCTACCAAGAACTGCCTACTCACCACTGTCTACCATTAACTGTTTACACACCACTGTTTACCATTAACTGTTTACTCACCACTGTTTACCATTAACTGTCTACTCGCCACTGTCTACACACCACTGTCTACACACCACTGTCTACCATTACCTGTCTACTCACCACTGTCAACCATTAATAGCCTACTTACCACTGTCTACCGTAAGCTGTCTATTCACCACTGTCCACCATTAATAGCCTACTCACCACTGTCTGCCAGTAACTGTCTACTCATCACTGTATACAATTAATTGTCTAATCACCACTCTGTACCATTAAATATCTACACACCACTGTCTACCATTAACTGTTTACACATCACTGTCTACCATTAATAGCCTACTCACCACTGTCTACCATTAACTGTCTACTCACCACTGTCTACCATTAAATGTATACACATCACTGTCTACAATTTACTGTCTACTCATCATTGTCTACCATTAACTATCTATTCACCACTTTCTACCACTCATTGTCTAAACACCGATGTATACCATTAACTGTCTACTCACCACTGTCTACCATTAACTGTCTGCTCATCACAGTCTACCATTTACTGTCTACACACCGCTGTCTACCATTAACTGTCTACACACCGCTGTCTACCATTAACTGTCTACACACCGCTGTCTACCATTAACTGTCTACTCACTACTGTCTACCATTAACTGTCTACTCACCACTGTCTACCATTAACTGTCTGCTCACCACTGTCTTCTATTAACTGTCCACACACCGCTGTCTACCATTAACTGTCTACACACCGCTGTCTTCCATTAACTGTGAACACACCACTGTCTACCATTAACTGTTTACTCACCACTGTCTACCATTAACTGTTTACTCACCACTGTCAAATATTAACTGCCACTCATCATTGTCTACCATTAACTGTCTATTCACCACTTTTTACCACTCATTGTCTACACACCGCAGTCTACCATTAGCTGTTTACACACCACTGTGTACCATTAAATGTCTAAACACCACTGTCTACCATTAACTGTTTACATATCACTGTCTACCATTAATAGCCTACTCACCACTTTCTACCATTAACTGTCTGCTCACCACAGTCTACCATTAACTGTCTACACACCGCTGTCTACCATTAACTGTCTACACACCGCTGTCTACCATTAACTGTCTACACACCGCTGTCTACCATTAACTGTCTACACACCGCTGTCTACCATTAACTGTCCACTCACTACTGTCTACCATTAACTGTCTGCTCACCACTGTCTACCATTAACTGTGTACACACAGCTGTCTACCATTAACTGTTTACTCACCACTGTCTACCATTAACTGTTTACTCACCACTGTCTCATATTAACTGCCACTCAACAATGTCTACCATTAACCGTTTACTCATCATTGTCTACCATTAACTGTCTATTCACCACTTTCTACCACTCATTGTCTACACACCGCTGTCTACCATTAGCTGTTTACACACCACTGTCTACCATTAAATGTCTACACACCACTGTCTACCATTAACTATCTGCTCACCACAGTCTACCATTAACTGTCTATGCACCGCTGTCTACCATTAACTGTCTACACACCGCTGTCTACCATTAACTGTCTACACACCGCTGTCTACCATTACCTGTCTACTCACCACTGTCAACCATTATTAGCCTACTTACCACTGTCTACCGTAAGCCGTCTATTCACCACTGTCTACCATTAACTGTCTACACACCGCTGTCTACCTTTAACTGTCTACTCACTACTGTCTACCATTAACTGTCTACTCACCACTGTCTACCATTAACTGTCTGCTCACCACTGTCTACTATTAACTGTCCACACACCGCTGTCTACCATTAACTGTCTACACACCGCTGTCTACCATTAACTGTCAACTCACCACTGTCTACCATTCACTGTCTCCACACCACTGTCTACACACAACTGTCTACTCACCACTATCTACCATTAACTGTCTACACACCGCTGTCTTCCATTAACTGTGAACACACCACTGTCTACCATTAACTGTTTACACATCACTGTCTACCATTAACTGTTTACATATCACTGTCTACCATTAATAGCCTACTCATCACTGTCAACCATTAACTGTCTACTCACCACTGTCTACCATTAATAGTTTACTCACCACTGTCTACCATTAACTGTCTACATAAAGCTGTCTACCATTAACTGTCTACACATCGCTGTCTACCATTAACTGTCTACTCACCACTGTCTACCATTAATAGCCAACTCATCACTGTCTACAATTAACTGTCTACACACCGCTGTCTACCATTAACTGTCTACACACCACTGTCTACCTTTAACTGTCTACTCACTACTGTCTACCATTAACTGTCTACTCACCACTGTCTACCATTAACTGTCTGCTCACCACTGTCTACTATTAACTGTCCACACACCGCTGTCTACCATTAACTGTCTACACACCGCTGTCTACCATTAACTGTCAACTCACCACTGTCTACCATTCACTGTCTCCACACCACTGTCTACACACCACTGTCTACTCACCACTATCTACCATTAACTGTCTACACACCGCTGTCTTCCATTAACTGTGAACACACCACTGTCTACCATTAACTGTTTACACATCACTGTCTACCATTAACTGTTTACATATCACTGTCTACCATTAATAGCCTACTCATCACTGTCAACCATTAACTGTCTACTCACCACTGTCTACCATTAATAGTTTACTCACCACTGTCTACCATTAACTGTCTACATAAAGCTGTCTACCATTAACTGTCTACACATCGCTGTCTACCATTAACTGTCTACTCACCACTGTCTACCATTAATAGCCAACTCATCACTGTCTACAATTAACTGTCTACACACCGCTGTCTACCATTAACTGTCTACACACCAATGTCTACCATTAACTGTCTACTCACCACTGTCTACCATTAACTGTCTGCTCACCACTGTCTACTATTAACTGTC